AAGTATTTGCTCCTTTTAGGACATATTGCCACGTGTTTTCTGTTTTGTTAAGTTTAAATGTTTCAGATTGTAAAAGAAAGTTAGGCTTAAAACCAAAATCTTTCCAAAAAAAAAACAAAAAAAATTACATTAGGTTTGGATAGATTTTGAAAACTTACTCACCCCCCCCTTATAAAATCCAGAATAAACAGTTTGACATTTTTATTTAAAAAACTGGGGTCCTTTTTTTCAAGCCACATCTAAGCATAACTCCTGTCGGAAATCATGAAATCCCTTTTATCAAACCAGTCAGACATCAGGTAGGTAAAATAATTTTGGTTCAATGTAGAGAAATGGAATGAATTGTTATTTAGCCTATTGATCCACTGATTAAAAGGCAAATTTGAAAGAATTGCTTTAAAACTTTCCACAAAGATGATACAATTCTTCAATTTAAATATTTTATTTGGAGTTTGGTGTTTCTGCTACGCATTACCAGTCCTTATAACACAGTGGAAGAGATCTACAGAGAGGAGCCATTCAGAGTGCACACAGCATAAATGCACTCCTATACATTTATATACAGGATTCCCAGCACTGAATCGTACAGTATGTACATGCCAAGCAAAGTAGAGAGATTAATAAACTGAGAAAACCATCTTTAAAACTGAGACCAAGGTGAAGAATAAGCTAAACTCTTGTGATTAGCGTATAACCTTTAAATAAGGATCTGTTCTAAGCTTGGAGTATGTTGCATCAGACATGAACCACAGAACAGCTGAATTAATCAACGTCTTCTAAAGTCAAAAATGCTGCTTCCCAGCTGTTTTAGACAACCTGACACATTTATTATTGCTGAAGTGCCTCTTATCTTATCCAGCCTGAGCATATAATTGCTCACCCTTAAAAAAAAAAGAAACATCGCTTACATAAGCAGAAGTGGACTGGATATTGCTCTGCAATTAGGAATAGAAAGACAAAGCAAAAAAAAACAAAAAAAACATTTGGTTTGTCTTCACTCCACACATTTGTAATTACAGGAAATTCACTCAAAGGCTTCCAAAAAGCCAAACTAAATAAATAAGGATATATTTATTTACGTTAAAATTAGACATAAAGTGCACAAACAGTAATGCACTGGAAAACAAATGGCTCATTATACATTCACATGTAGGCCGCCTTTATAAAGGAGCAACAGAAACCTGTGGAAACCGGTGAAGCAAGGAAACGAGAACATCTATGAAATCCCCTCAGAGATAAAACATGAATGTATTTGTATAATGGCTGGACTGGTTTACCATCATATCAAAAATGACTCCAAGTTCACAATGCTGTTCATTTCAAAATTCAATTCTTTGACATTCTCTTCCGGAAAAAAAAAAAAAAAAATACACTTGTTCCATTTATTGTTTACATTCATGGATAATTTCTTCCCACTAATTGATAAAACAACCTGAGCAACGTGCTGATCAGACATGGACATATTGGTTGGCTCCTCTGGAAAAGATGTGGAAACAATAATTAGATCAGTCTGTTTTATAGTAGTAGCATGATCCAACTTTGAAATACTGTAAAAAAAATAATCATTCGTTTCCTGCAATTGTACAGATTGAAGAAAAGATTACGCTTAAAAATGAGATATGATTTGCTGTATCAAACAACTACAAATGAAAGGAGACATTGATTCCTCTTTTATACTGGGAAAAGATCTGTAAATACATTTTTCTTTATTCTTTACACCTCAATGATAAACCAAAAGACATTTCAAACCAAAGTAGTTTGATGTTTTTGAAAAAAGGGAGGCTTTATAAAAAGAAGAATGTGTCCTACGATGTTTTCCACCTTGTTTAAATACCTGGATGTTGTCGGTCCAATTTAATATGGAAATAGTGCGTTTGATAAAAGAAAGCATTTTCCACCGAAAGGAGAAATTATCTTTTTTAAACGCAGCATTTTAGCAACAAGGTAACCCTTGAATTAATACTAAAAAAAAAAAAAGTGCCATCAGTGATTAAATTTAACTTTCAGTGTATACACAGCAAGTACACACATTTCAGTTGATTTTCAACCATTATCCCATGGCAAAAACAAACAAAACAGATTTATTCTTAGGTGTAACACACATCATTCCCAGAAGGAGCGGAATATAAGCATGTCTGCATCTGTGACTCTATGCAACATCAACCTGCTGTTTGTTGCTTTAAAACATATCAGCACTTCTAGTTTGGGAGATTCTATGAAATCATGAGGACATTAAGTAAAGAACTTTTTAAAAGACGACCCTCCTGCTAAATGCATCTGATCCCATTCTCTTTAAAATCTATCTGCCCCTCTCTTCCCGTTCGTGCTCCTCCCTGCAGGTTTTATCTGGTCTCCAGGGTTTTGCCCTCCAGAACCAGCTGAATCTCTTTGGCGTCCAGCGTCTCATACATGAGCAGAGCATCTGCCAGGTTCTTATGCTCCTTGGCGTGAGACTTTAACAGGGCTTTGGCACGCTCATAGGAATCCTGGAAGCAGCAGGACAAAAGGTGTTACTTAAGCATCAGAGGAGCTGAAGAGGTTTGAATTTTTAAATTTGATGGAGGCGGACCTTCAGAAGAACCCGGACTTCATGCTCCACAGCAGCTTGTGTCTCTGGACTCTGCGCCGTCAGGTCAGAGTAGGTCATCACACCTAACTGATAGACGAGGAGAAACAGTCAGAACCTAAATCAGTGCAATGCATTTTGTAATTAATAATTTGCTTTTCTTACCTTCTCACACATCCCATATCTGGTCACCATCATCTTAGCAATCCTGGTAGCGCTATCAAAGTCACTTGATGCTCCTTTAAAACCAGAATTAATCTCCTTTAGCATGAGCTTTCCTAACACACACACACTAACATGGCCATCAATCTCCCATCAATGGTTCGTACCCGTTGTGATGTTCTCATGGCCAAATATAATCTCCTCTGCCACACGGCCGCCCATACTGACATCCATCTGTGCCAGAAGCTGAGAACGGGTCTCACTCCACCTGTCGTTCTCTGGAAGCATGGAAACCTGTAGGATGAAGAGTAAGTCAAATGTTTGCTGCACAGCAATAATAGATGAAACTTAAAGAAGCACTTCAGCAACAGGTCCAGATTTTCCTTACGTGTCCCAGACTTGGGCCTCTGGGCATGATGGTAGCTTTGTTGATCGGCATGGCGTCCTTGGTGTAATACGCCACGATGGCGTGACCGGATTCATGATATGCCGTGATTTGCTTGTTCTTGTTGTCAATTTCTGCACTCCTTCTCTCGGGGCCTTGGAGAAAAGAGAGGAGAAAGGAGGGAGGTGAGGTAACAATGACGAAGCATATCATTATCTCCAGGAGCAGGGTCATCAGATCGCCACTAGCAACTCTTTACACACCCATGAGTATTTTGTCTTTGGCAAACTCCAGCTCCTTCATAGTGACCATGTCTTTGCCATCAACTGCTGCCTTCAGGGCGGCCTGGTTGACCAGATTTTCCAGGTCGGCGCCGGAAAATCCAACGGTTCCTCTGGCAATAAGATTGGCCTCAATGGCTGCAGGGAGAACGCAGAGCAGACATGTCGTCATGGAGATGATTTGGTTTGAATGATTTAACTTAATACATCATAAGCATTAGAAAAAGCTGACGGCCAAAATTTCTTAAACTATTTACAAAATGTTTTGCATAATAAGAATCAGTTGTTAGGTAGGGCTTAGTAATCGTTAATTAATTACTGAAATAGTTGTCAACCGATTCAAAAATCGATTAATTTTTAACTGGAGTAAAGAGACTAAAACAGCCTTTAGCTGACAGAGAAACCCACTTACAATTATACCTATATTTTAATATAAAAAAAAAAGATATGTAAATATTTTTCATTTAAGGTAAAAAAAAACAACAAAAAAACAAAACATTTTGTCTGTAAATATGCTACACCCGGAACTCCAAAAATGACAAAGTTTTTGTTTCACCTGGTTTAAATTCTGTAAAACATATTCTTTAAGGAACCTCTTGCTATCCGTTCATTTATCAATTAATCAAACAGTAATCGTCAGATTAATGGATTAGCAAAACAACTGTTAGTTGCAGCCCTATTGTTAGTTAGACCAACACAAAGTAGTGCAGAACCCAAAAGTGGAGAAAATTTTATTTTTTATTTTTAATGTATTCAGCTTCTTCAAACCTACACAGCGTTTTGCATGTAGGTCCATATTTGCTCCATCTACTAAATCATTGCAAACTTCAGGGTTATTTCTGCTCTTTAACCATGTTGCCCTTCATGCATCTTTAAGGGCAGATTAGACTTCTGCAACCGCACACATAAAATGTCGCTTGGGTCTGGTCGCGAACCAGTTTTGCTGGTATGCTTCTGCACTGTCGGTTGGAAATTTCTGGGGACACACAGCAGTTTCCCGCCAAAGTGCAAGAGGGAGCCTATTCGAAAACTCGCGAGAACTTCGGCGGATGGTCACGAGAACTTCGTTTTGGCAGAGACCTTAGCATGTTTGTATAATTTGTAGGCATCGTACAGGTGGTTGTACTTCCGAACCTTCTCAATTAACCTTTCGTCATAATATTCCATTGTAGTTGTTCCTCAGTTTTTAAAAATGGCACCCCGGCACTGAATCGAGAAGGACGACTACTTAGACAGCCGGAAAGGCATACCAAGAACCAATCACAGCTTCTTATTGTCTGCGCACTTCAGCTTGATGTCCGCGTGGATTTGTGACCGTCCGACGGGTAGGCAGGATTTCTTTGAGGCATAGAGACAGATTTGACGGTTGCAGAGGCTATTCATCAGAAGCATAAATTGGCCTTTAACCTAAAGAGTTCTGGAGAGCGAAATGAATGGCTTTCCTACACAGGGGAGACAGTGGCGTATGAAACAGGTTTGCCTGCCAAGGTTGGAACCTCATCTCACCTGCATTGCCTACTGAAGGTGTTCAGAGGGCCTGGAAGAGCGTGGTGTACAGCAGCCCCTAATGGGTGAATGACTGAGTGCAGTGTGAGGAGGTTTGGGGCTCTTGGACTTAATAAAGCTCTATACAAGTACGCCAAGATTTATATCACCATTTATGAACAGAAGCTAACGTCTGAACTGTGGATGTATGCAGCTCCTCTAGAGTTGTCCTTTGAACCAACAGCTGCATCTCTACTTTTTACATAAAATCCAAATAAAATCATGACTTTGTTTTAATAAAAATTAAATAAAGTTCAAGAAGTATGTATAGTTTTACGAAGATGGCATCCTGTACTGTAGGTAGGAATTAACCGGAGAGGAACAGCACAAGACCGATGCTAACGGCTCACCTGGATCTACTTTAATCTTCTTCAGGTACCAGTTGAGAATCTCCGTCCGCCCCTTAACATCTGGTTTGGGTACAGTCACCTGCATGTCAAAACGTCCCGGGCGGATCAGCGCACTGCAAAGACAAACCCAGAAGCAGCATAAAGCACATGGCTGCAGCGCCTTGATCGGATTTCTGAGTAGACCGTAAGAAACCAAAACCTACTTATCCAGAGCTTCTGGGAAGTTAGTGGCTCCGATGATGATCACCCCTTCATTCGATTTAAACCTAGGAAACAGCAGGTCAGTGTCTGTACATGCCTGGCCAACATCACACTGTCCACTCATAGTTTATTATCTGAGCATTCTGGTATGAACACACGCTTTTTATTGAAAGCTGCAAAGATTAAATCGCTCTAGAATGTGATCTAATTTCCTAATCAGAATAGAAATGAAGAGAACAGCTGCACAAACATGAAAACATGTCCCAGATTGTTTCTGAAAGTTTACCCATCCATCTCAGCAAGCAGCTGGTTGATAGTCTGTCTGGAGTAAGGGTGCATAGGGGACTCAATCCTTTTACCCCCCACACTGTCTAGTTCATCAATGAAGATCACACAGGGAGCATTGGCTTTGGCCTCTCCTGAGGAAACAGCAAAGAACAGCAGTTACACCCCAATGCATGCATCTGCATTATTACTACTACAGCTGTAAAATGTTAACAGAGCTCCTGTTAGAAGTTTATTAACCATTAATTTGGAAATTTTAAAGATGCTTTGGAATCATGTTACAATGTCAATACAACAACACTTTGCTGTCATGATCTGGCCTGTTTGCTCCCCCTTAATTGGTAATTTCTTTCACCTGCCATTTTCCCTCCCTGTCTCAATTATAATTTATTCCTCTCACTTGTGTCCTGCTCCAGGGAGGAGACCAGTTTAAAGTTCCTGCATCAAGTTCTGGTTCCACGTCCTGTCTCAGCTACCCTCTGCCACTGAGCCTGCTCATCTGCACCTGATCCTGTCTGCTCCTGTGCGTGACCACCTGGTCAGCCTGCTAAACCAGAGTGTCTGAGATTGGGCGGTGCCCCGCCCCCCTCCTGCAGTATCCGCGAGCCACAGCTCCACTTTAGTTTTCTTTATTTGATAAACTTGTTGAACTTTCCTACTGACTGTCTCTCCTTGAATACTGGGTCCATCTGTCCGCGTTTCATGACATTTGCTGCACAGTTGTTTTTAAATATTGTATATTGTGTGTAATACAAACATAACTAAAGAAAAAACAAAACCAAACTGACTAAAATGTGTTTGTACCACCAGGAATGCTGAGTTTAACATTTATTTATTCGTTTTTACTTTATTGAGGTTCTGGCAAGATGCTAGACCATTCTTCCATTTTTGGGACATTGGATTTACCCTGGAACTGTGAAGTAATAGTGACCTAATCTCTGAGGTGATTGTGTTCCAGTTTCCTGTCTGGGGAGGATCATATTCTCCAATGTTGAACACTTCTAAAATGTTTTTTGAGTGTATAAAACAGCAGTGACTCATTTCATCTTGTGAAAAGTAGTATTTTTATGACTGACTAACTGTAACTTAAACGATTAAAGAGCTGTTCAAAAACGGCCATCGTGAACGCAGAAGTCTGGTACTATCCCGTTTCCTCGACTTTCCCACTCGTGATTCTGACTTTGGTTCCAGTGGTAGAGTGGGTCAAGATTCTGACTTCAGAAAACAAATACAGAGCCTTTTCAGGAGATTAAAGTTTGCAGGTTTATCCATGTGTGTTTGGACCTTATTCCCACTTTTAACCAAACTGTTGTTTTGTGTTCAAAGTTCATGTACGTGTTAAATCAGACCCTCAACATTGATGCTGCCATTACCACGATTATAGTTTTCTTACATCTGAAGCCTCTCCTCAAGTCCCCCAAACTTTATTCTGGTCAGTGAAGACAAATAGTTATTTTACTGTTATTATGTATGTAGCTTGTTATTGCAGGCAGTTGCATTGTAGTCCAGAGTCGGCAGTGACCCTGATTTTCAATCATCCTCCAAGAACTTTTCTTTCATTAGATGAACTTACATTAATGTTGTTCGTGATACATAAAAAAAAAAAAAAAAATACAGATAGCTGAATTTCAAACAGGACAATGACCACTGGAAAAAAAAAAAAAGAAGAAAAAAGCTTAGCTTAAACAGCTTAGCTTCTGAAATGCTTCTTTCTTTGATTATCTGTCTTTAAAGCTGCACCCCTGAGAGGGAATATAATGAGCGAAAAGAAAGGTGGTCAAATATGCAGCCAGAATTATCTAGAAACTTGTTGACAGTTGGAGAAAGCGCATCATCCTTGTGCCACTTGTTTAAAAACATTTAACCAAATATTGGGGGAATGCATTTATATAACTGGGGAGTCCAAGCAGGACAGAGGCATCATTAAACACATAGATAATGATTTAAGTGTGTTAACTTCTGAGCGGAAAAGAAAGGAAAAGGTACCCACTGAAGAGGTTCCTGATGCGACTCGCTCCGACACCAACAAACATCTCATCAAACTCTGACCCAGAGGCGTAATAAAACGGCACATCGGCCTCTCCGGCCACAGCTCTGGCCAAGAGAGTCTTTCCAGTGCCTGGAGGACCGACAAGCAGAACACCTAAGATAAAGAGGGAATAAAGTAAGAAAAATAAGTAACAGTCCAAAAGATGCAACAACGAGGTTCTATCGACAGCCTGCAGGTGCTAAAAAAACATCCCACCCTTTGGCAGCTTTCCTCCGAGGGCTGTGAACTTCTGTGGGTTCTTCAGAAACTCCACAACATCCTGGAGCTCGTTTTTTGCTTCTTCAACTCCCTTCACGTGCTCAAACGTCACGTTTTTCATCTGCACCGGATCCACCGCCGAGTCCAGGCCTGTTGTTGTTCGGAAGCGCACTGCTCAAAAAGTTCAGATTAAAGTTCACTCCAGCACAGTAAAGAGATCTAGTCAGAGGAGCAAGTTGCTCTGTTTGGTTTACAGTTAAAACAAAACTCCATTGGAACAAAGAAACAAGGGATCAGAATCCTCTGAAAGGAATTTAATGCAATTTCACAAAGTTGATAAGAAAAAAAAAGTCATAAGAAGGCCTTTACCTGATATGAAAGGAGTCTTAGAGAGACCATAGAGCCCAACCAGAAGAAGGATCAGGAGGATTAGACGAGTTCTCCTCAGAGAGTCTGAATCCACAAAAGGGCCATATTAGTTTTGATAAACTCCTGCAGCGTTATTCTGTTTGTTGGACTTGTGTTAACACCTGCCTTGAGTTCGCTGCGTCAGAGCTTGAGCTTTGAGGAAACCCTCAGCGAAGCCCCTCTTAAAGGCGTCCTGCTGTCCATCTGGTACGTTCTTGTTCTTCAGCAAGCCGTCAAGGCTTTCAACATCAAACCCTTTATCACGTGTAAGGAAACCCTGCAGAAGACAAGACCACTCGGTGATATCCATATAAAAATAACACCCAATGTCAATTCAAAGATAATACGATGTAAGGATCTGATTGGATACAGAAAAATATTCTTTATGGAGATCTGGTCTCTGAGGTCACTTTTTCTAATGAAATTAAGACAGAAACATGTACAATGTTTAAAAAAAAAACTCAAACGTTTTCCCTCATTTGGTCACATAATACATAAAAAAAACCTTAAAAAAAGAACAACCGCCAATGCAAAGTAAAAAAACCCAAGGCCTTGAAAAAAAAAAAAAGACTTTTTGTAAAGAAGTCACAGACAGTGACTCGATTACAGCAACCCCAAATCTTTTCCGGATTTTTAATTTTCAAAAAACGCTAAATTTAGACTTTTGTTAGTTTATAAAAAAACAGAAAATTAAAGATACATTTGTTTTTTTTAAAGGTTGGTGCTGATTATTCTGACATCAGTCTAACTGATCCCTGATATTTGCAGACAATATTTTTGGGACGATTCTTAAATGCCTTTTTCTTCCTCTATTTACTGGAGAAAGACTTTACAATGATGACAAATGCTACAAAAGTCTTAATTTACACAAAAAAGGGAAACATTTACTAACAAAACATTACCAATTTAAAACAAAAGAAGGGAACGGCAATGCAAACACTATACTTGATCACAAGACATGGCTTCTGAATACACAAATGAACACAACAGCCAATTGATCAGGCAATGTATCAGTCTATTTCTATTACAAAATCCCAGTGAAACTCTCTGAAGTTTGTAATTTCCATTTAGCTGGTTACTTGGTAGCCATATATCCTTGAGACCCCACCTTTATAAAAGATGGCGTGAAAGTCTCGGAGTCCACGGGCCGCTCAAACGCCGACTGCACTCGCCTGGTTTTGCTCCTTAAAGTTTTAAAGCCTCGGCTCTGAAACATTACTTAAAAACCAATAAAGAAAAGATCTGAGTTTCTAAAAGAAAATAGGAACACAAACAGAATATTGTAACAGATGGAAATACGCAGTCTATACTTTAAAAAATAAATCAATAAATACAACTAATCAGCAAATTACCTGGCCAGTGTTTAAGCTCTGTGCAGACTGTCTGCAGGGGGGACAGGTGCCTGTTTGAGAAAGCAGGAGTCATCAAAGGCGTGGGGCCCAATGAAAAGCCTGAGTAAAACACAGAAAACAACAGCTTTCTGTTCATTTTGAAATGACTTAAATACTAAAAGAAGATCAGCAAAACATAACAGGCCCCAGTCCCTAAAGCGAAGCAGTTCGCTCTCACCGTGCTTATTGTAGAAAAAGGAGGAAGAGGAGAGATGCGATGTCCTCCATGCTGCCTGTCCCCGGGCTGGGGACGACACTTCCTGTGTGTTCAAATGTGGAAACATCTGGTTCACCAGCTCATCCAGCTGCGGCTTTCCAAGGTCGGAAAAGCCGAGGTCCCGGAGGTTCCACATTGAAAGCGCATACTGTAAACCAGACATGCAGACAGAGCAAACTGTGTGTTAAGGTTTCAGAATGATTGGCCTCTTCTATGTCCTTTCTTCCCCTTGGAAGGTAAAAGCCTGTTTTTTATACAGTGTGAGACAGGGGCGATCAATGAAACTGACCCTGATGTTTATTTCACTTCTACAAAATTCACCATTAAGGAGTTTGAACAATTAAACCCTAAATAAATATCAACTGAGGCAAGGGGTGGAAATGATAAAAAAAATAACTTTCAATATACATCTATTCTATACATCTACACATCTAATGATCACAGCATTTGTCAATGACTGATGCTCTTGGTTTTGTTTAGTTTGATATATTTTTGTTTTTTAAACCAAATATCTCTAAAATATTTTGTTGGAGTCTTATAAAAAATAAAAATAATTGTCTTAAGTTTGTGCCGGGATCTGTTGTGAGCTTTCTTGGCAGTCTTTGACGCTTTAATTACATTTAAATCTGCAGATTTAAAGCAGCAAAAAAGAAGAGGCCAAATGATCCTATATGATATAAGAAACACACGCAAAAGAGAAATAAAAAAATAAAAAAAACTATATTAAAGTATGAATTTTGAAGGTCCATCTCTCTCTCATTTACACAAATATCATCAAAGCATTTGTGCCACACCACTGACAAAGACTCTCATTCAATTAGTTTTTCATACTTTAGGCTTTCTACTTAATAAATCTTCTTTAGATTCTGGCCTGAATGCATTACAGCATGCATGTAGACTATGATCCTGACTGAGACTGTTTTTCTCTGACCATAACCCTCTGATATTCCTCCGTAGCCTGCAGTCCCCCGATTAACCACTGTATTGCTGTCACTCCAGTAAGCTTTTAGCCCTCAAGTTCTACACATAAGAAGGCGTAACAACATGGTGGTAGTTGTGTTCTTGCAAGCTCATTGAATTCCATGTAATGTACTGCTAGCTTAAATATATAAATCATTAAAATTTGGATTTTTAGATAAATATAAATACTGTGGGCCTTTTATTTCTGCTTTCTATGCAGTGCTCTACTCTCTTAGAGGGTGTTGGAGACATTGCACAGAAACGGGAGGGAGAATTTGACACAGTATACATCGAAGATGACTAGCAAGAAGCCATTTATATGGTTAATTCTACCTTTATATGTAATTTGCTCAGAGAGACACTGCATATACTACTAAATCGTCTACATATAACACCTTTTATATTTTTAGAAGATGGAACGCTAGGTCTTTCCCTTATGCAATAAATGTGGAAGAGAGGTTTGGTCGTATTACCATTATTTCTGGCAATGCAGACTGATCAAACGATTCTGGGGAGCATTCTGAAGAGTGACGTGTTTCATGTAAAAATCAGCTGTGACCAAGGTTTGTTTCTTCTTGGCATCCCTTCAAAATCAGTCACTCTGACACAATCGCACTTCAAACTTTGTGACAAAATGATTGCTTGTGGCTAGAAAAAGCTTTTTAATTAATTGGATTAAGGATAAACCACAAACTATCACACAATGGTATAGAGAAATATTTAGAGTCCTCCCTCATTAAAGGATTAGTAGAGTTCTTAAGGGTAATGAGAAACATTTCATTGATGTGTGGTCTCCTCTGCTTAGTAATTTACCAAAAGAACTGAGAAGAGAACTGAATGAGAGGTCAGAATCCTATGAAGTGGAAGGCCTCACCATATCTTAACTAATGAACAACCTCCTTTTGTATTACCATGCATCTTTTTTCTTTCTTTGATCACCAGGCTAGATATGATTGTGTTGATGTCAGGCTTTAAATATGTCTGCTAATGTTTGCCGGCCACTGGAGACATGATTTAACGAGAATGTGACATTGTACGGTGGGTTATTTTTTTTTTTATTTGTTTGTTCCTGATCCGTATCCCATATTCATGTTAGATGATAGGCAACACAGTGTACAATTTGTTTTATTTTCTGTTTGTGAAAACACAAAACTAATAAAAAATAAAAAATAAAAAAGGGAAAGAATCTGGATTTATGCGTCAAATATGATCTGTAATTTATTGCTTTGGGGTTTCTAAAGTTAAAGTTGATGAAATCAGACTTAAAAAAAAAAAACAACTTGTTTAAACCACTCCCTTGCAACACAGATTGTTTGCTGACATTTCATCAACAGAACATCACCTAGAGTTGCATATTGTAGCAGTGTTTTTAATAATTACCTCTGTGCATTGTGGATCTGAATCTGGAGCAGGTTCCTTGGGCTTTCTGGACTTGCATGTGGCACTGCTGCTGCTTCCAACTGAGCTCTTCAGGGGATGTAGGATGTTGATGAGGTGACTGAGAGGTAGAGTCACCTGCGACCATTAAAATAATTAGCAGCAGACACTATTTTTAAATCCTAGAAGTAATATTAGTTCAATCTAAAAACGTGTATTCCAGTTATTGCTATAGATAGTGGCACCAGGCGCACTAGCTTACTGAAAAATAGTGTCAAGGATTGCAGTTTTTTTGTATCCAAATGTCAACAGGAATTAGCTTTATTTAGAGTAAACAAAGAGTGTAAAGTGCTTGCAGATTCAAAGAGAAACTAATACAGAGCAGCAATATCCTCATTAGATAAGCAGCAGGGTCTGACCTAGGAAGCGACGGGAACTGGGGTAGGTCAGAAACAAAACAACAACAATGCTAAAGCTAGTTCGGCCCGTTAGCTCCTTACCTGCGGCTGGACCGACATTGAAAAGGAAAACATCATCCGCCTGTTTCCACTAATAGCATCCGACTCACTGATATCTCTGTTCCTGACCCTTACAGGTGTCTGTTTGTTTCCCTCTGCTTCTCCCCTGCAGGCATAGCAAGTTCAGCTACGAACTTCAGCAGCCGGGGAATAGACCGGATATGACGCCAACAGTGTTGCGGCGAAAACGGTCCCCGTCGTCTTCTTCTTCTTCTAAATTATTTTTCTTTTGGCGGTTGGCAAAAACGTTAGCTGAGCATTACCGCCACCAACTGGTAAGGAATGTGGACAACATGACAAAAAAAAAAACAAAACAAAAAAAACTACTATATCCTGTTATACAATTTAATCTGTTTCAAAAAGTCATATATGACCTGACATCCTCTGCTTCCTGATTCCTTTGGCAGTAAATCAACAATCTCAAGTTTCACTTTCATATTCCTAAATTTCCTATTTAACTTGTTTCTCTGAATCAAATATTACCTACAACCCAAAATAACATGTTCCATTGTGTCATCTCCCACACGATCACATTTCCCTGTCTGATGTTTCCCTATTAATAAAAATAATCCCTGTGTTCTTCTTCTTATGGACTTAAAAGTTGAACAAACTACGATAAGTAACACTTTACCTCCACTAACTGGTATGCAGTGAGATTAATTATCGTTTATGAAATCAAATCGTGTTAATCCACTACGTTATAAACATATTATTTTTTTGTTTAAAAAGACTAATATAAATAGGAGACTGGCAATTAAAATAATTATAATATTTAGCAAATTTCTTATTTGTAAATATAAGTTCTCATCATTCTTACTTTTTTTTCAGAATTTGGTTTAAAAAATTGAATTATATTTATCCACTATTTACAAGGGGACCAACAAAAAAGAGAGCCTTAAATCAATCAGTTATTTTGAATTTTTTTTATAATGTCTAATTTTATTTGTACCTCATGTCGAAATGTAGATACCCATTCCACTGGTAAGCCTTGGTAAATGTTATGTGTTATGTTTTTTGTTCTGTGTATTTTCTTGCCAACCAACATATTTATTAAAATATACAATAAATTTTGCTTTCCTAGAAAAAAAACAACAACAGAATTTGTATGTTTGGCCCTTAAACATTTCTTTTGCTATGGGTGCATTAAATTAAACCTGTCTTTAATTCTTTCAAATTCTATCTTTGTGTATCTTTTTTTTTTGTATTTTCTCACAACCCTGTCCTCTCCCAGAAGAAGCTTTCACTTTAGCAGATAATTATCAGATAAAGCAGTTATCAATGTTGAGAATCTGTTCCATTTTCTCTCTCCTCTAAACCACTGAGCAGTGCTGCAGAGGGCAAACATTTCTTTTATTTACAGGTTGATGATTTTGTTGATGGGGTTGCTAGTTCTCACCGTACTGCCTTAGAAAACACAACCCCTTTAAAAATGAAAACTGTTAAAAGTAGAAAGCTGGCTCCTTGGTTTATACAGAGCTGCGCACTTTGAAGCAAAATGCTAGGAAACTGGAGGGAAAATGTTGCTCCACAGGCCTACAAGAATCCTACATAGTCTGGAAAAATAGTTTACTGCTGTTTGGGATGACCCTTCATAAAGCGAGAGCTTTATGAAGCTGGAGGCAGTATAGTGAGTTATATCTCACTATACTGCCTCCAGGTTTAACCACAAATGGGTCGGTTAAAAATTAAGCTTAAGCATATTTGCTGTTTCTGGGTCAAATTCTAAGGAGACCCCAGTAGCATTGGTCCATTTGAGATTATTTTAATGCATTATTTTTTAACAAATGTTCCATCCAGGTTATTTAAGAAAGTATTCCCTTTGATCTCCTCCTCCCTTTGAAATGTCATTAATCTCTCCCTGTTACAGGTATATTTACCAAAGGCTCTTAAGGTTGCTGTAATTAAACCTTTAGTTTAGAAAGCGTCTCTTGACCCAGATGACTTGGTCAACTATAGACCTAATCCAATCTTCTTTTCTTTTCTAAAATTCTTGAGAAGGTACTTGACAAACAAGTGTGTGACCACTTACACCACAATTAACTTTTTGAAGAATTTCAGTTGGACTCTTAACTCTCTGCTTCTGAATGCAGACAAAACAGAAGTTATAGTCTTTGGTAAAGAGTCTTTGAAAAAGAAGCTGATTAGTCAGACACTTCATTTGGATGTGATTAAATTGTTCACATTAAGCCTGGTTCTGCTGGAGGTTTCTTCCTGTTAAAAGGGAGTTTTCCTCTCCACTGTCTCTACAAGCATGCTCGGTGTGGGGGATTGCTTTCGGAAGAATGAGTCCATGCAATCATCTAGTTTTCCTTAGATACAAAACTTTGAACCAATCTAATAGTAAGATCTGGTTTTATTGTCTTAGTAAAGTGCCTTGAGATGACATGAGTTGTGAATTAGCGTCATTCAAATAAACTGAATTGGATGTTAGCAATGGTAATACCGACTGCTAGCTTTCTAAATATCCAGCAGGACACACAGTCATCTCATGAATAAACCCCTGTGGTTTGGTCAGATGTAGCCCTTATTAACATATTTCAGTCATATGAATCAATATTTAGTGAACAAAATGTGTCATTGTTCCATTATTTGTTGTTTTATTTTTTTTAAAACAGCAAACGCTTCCCAGTATGAACACTGACATAAAATCAGGTTTGTTTCAAAATTGTTTTATTATATATTCTACTTTTTTTCATGCAGTCAGGTATGACAATTAGATTAATGTGCAATTTCTTCTTTTCATCTGCAAAACTAGTAAGACGATTGTTTAGATAAGGCTAATACAGATTGTCTCTACTCCCATAAGGTTTACATAGCAAAAGATTTATTAGGTTATAAACACTAACACTTATTCCAGCTTTTTAAGATTTCTTTCTTTATAGTCCCTTAGTTGCCATCGTGTTTCCATGCCCTTTCATCCGTTTTCATTTGTTTACAAAGCATCACTTTTTCTTTTGATTGTTATTACACAAACCATTTCTACAAAAACAAGGATGAAGATTTTTACTTCTTACCAGCAGCTTATCACTGTATTGACAAATTAAATACAGCCTTAATTTAAACGAAATACTTGTTACATGAATTTTGCATGTGGCGTTTGCAGAAGTCCCCCAAAGTCTTTAAATATCTAAAAATAAAACAGATTTAACACTGATAAATTCATACATTCCTAAAACATTCAAATATACCGTTAACAGTGTGCTGGTGATGGGGCTCACATTTCAGACAATAATAAGCCAGTTTCACGCTTTTCTAAAAGGTTTCCTCTTCGGAAAAGTTTTCTTTTCCTCCAAGCTTCAACATCCTTCATTTGGGATGTTGGCTTAAAACAAGCCACAGTGCAACAACAGTGCATCTTTGATCCCCGTTAACCATCAGACTTCTCACAGAATTCTCCTGCAAATAGAAAAAGAGGAGTTAGTAAAAATAAAACAGGAAAAAATATTAATATTTTAGGCATAAATTCTGCTTACCTTCTTTTGCGAAGGAAATAGAGTTGAACAAGCCAGTGGCTGATCAGAGGCCAGACGGCCACCAACGCCACAGTGAGTGGAGACAGGTGAAAAGGCCACCTAAATCTTTTGAGGAACTGCAGCAGACACAAAGCACAGATACAAACTGAAGTAAACACACATCATGACTACAGAGATAACTGCTATTCTTATTATTGTTGTTATATATGCTCCCTTTCAATCGTAGTGGGTTAAAACTGAGAATTTTCTAAATGTTTACCTACTTATATATATGAAATGTTGCTTGCCGTCATGAAAAATGGCTTTTCTACTGAGATAATTAGATATTCGTCTTTCCTTATTGAGCTTAAAAAAATGAAGATTGAGCAAACAAATATAAATGCAGCACAGTTTTTGCTGCTCTTATTTTTCAGGAGCTGAACCCAAAGATCGAAGATATTTTTCAAGAACACTAAAGACCCATTTCTCTCCAATTATCTTAAATCTTTCCAGGTCTGTGTTAGTCAGTATTTCTCCTTTGCAGAGATTATCCCGCATACAGAGACCATAATTAGACTGCATGATTATTGCCCAGGTGAGCCATGAGCTGGCCACACTAAAAGGCCACTCAAAAATGTAGTATCGCTTTATTTGGGAGGATCTGAAACTGAGTCAATATCTGGAGAAGTTTCTTGGTTATCTAAACTGAATCCTCCTGGGTTAGGGTGGCTCTCCATGGTCTGGGGTTCTGGGGTCGCTGGATGTACTGCTAAATGCTCTGAAACGCTTGTGGAAATATAAAATGGTAGAGAAAGGAACAATCAATATCTATGGACAAAAGCTCTGGTGGGCATTCCTCAGGTCAATCTGCCAAATACATGCTATCTCAAAACTAGCCGTATAGTACTAGCAGTGTGGCATTTTGCTGTGTGACAAAACAACATTTTAGACTGCTCTTTTGATTGTGCCCAGCTGTGCAATAATCATCTAAATAAGCTTGAGGGGAGGTTAATGGGTGATTTCAGGAAAGGAGAACAGCTCATCACCACAGATGTTGACATTTTTGTAAAATGGCCCCTTTGTGTCCGCTTGAAGGAGACTTACTGTAGATCTTTGGGCTGAGACCATAAAAATTGAGAGCAACAACTAAACTGTTGCAATAGGGTAGGGCTAGGAAGGTCTTTCACCAGACTTCTCTCTGGCAGACTTAAACATTGATTTATTTTTCTTTGCACTCATTCTAATAAAGATTATTTATGAACTATATCCTAAACATACCAAATTAAACTTCTAAAACAGATGCTGCCAAACTATACATCAATGTATGCTACACAGTGAAAATAAAGAAAAAAGACTTCTTGTCTTCATTCACTTAATTATTCAGTATTTGAATGTTTTTGCTAGTTATTCCTCCGACAGAGCTTTTTGTTTTAAGATTTAAAGAAAGATCATGATGGTGTGTTTTTGTGTCACTTTTAAACTAAACTTCTTATAGTAAATTGGCTAGAAAAAATCCATCTCTTATTTGTTGAAGAGGTCTGTATTTCCAATATTCTTTTTTTAACTGTGTGTTAGAACTATTAAGTAAATAAAACATACAAAAAACAAACTGTTTTACCCATGTACCTAATATTTTGGCCAGTTCCAGGAGGGTGTCTACAGAACAAACCTCTCCACCCTGTACCTGTCCTCGAGAGGGAATGTCTATCAAAAGCATGCAAGCCCGTGCACAAGCCCATTTCGCTCTGTTTAAAAGTTGCAGTTTGCATCGCTCATTCAAGCTTACTTTCCAAAAAAAGGTTTGCAATTTTTCAACTATGTCAGACTCACCACCGGTAAGTGAAAATGGGGATGAACACGTAGGACGGCCTTACGTAAACATATCACCACAATGATTGACACTTAGGAAGACCACTTATTTAGATGATCCACCCGGATAAAGAACATCCTCCACTATTAGGGTTGTCAAAAGTATCGATACTCAAAAAAGTATTGATACTGAAACGTTGCATCCGGATACAATATTAATTTTCAAAAGTATCGATACAGTGCCACCTAAACAGTCATTCACCTAAAGTGCAGAACAGAGGAAAAATCACTTTCTGCACACTGTGTGATGGAATAATTCTGTGCACTTTTCAGTTTCACACTTTTTTTGTAACAGGTGCAGCTGCTTAGAATTATTTTTTTTTCTTAACCAGTTTGGCCAGTGTCATTGTTATGTGTGCAAAGCAAAGCCAAGTAAGGAAAACTTAATTTTAATTTTGTAAGTTTTTTACCAAGCTTGCTTAATACTGTGCACAGCATACAACCTCAAAATATTCTTCTTATTGTTTATTGTATTTATTTATTGTATTTTCATTATTAATGAAAATTTCTGTAGAATTTTGGAGTCTTTGTTTTTATCCTTGTGGTATCGAAAATGGTATCGAGTATCGAATATTTTCCTTAGTATCGGTATCGAGTTGAAAAGTTTAGTATCGTGACAACCCTATCCACTATACCTTTAATGCCTATATGGAAGATTTTGTTTAAACTGGTTCTATTTGGCTGGATAGATTTATTTTTAAGAAATTGGCAAACATTTGATTTAATGTTAACCTCAGGGACCCACACACCTCTTTCTGTTGGAAGGAAGAGGCCGTCCCATTCTCGTTTTTACCCCACAAATTTAATCCATTCACCTTTATTCACACTTGATAGTAATGTCTCTAGAAGTTAGAGTAACTTTGTAAAATTTTCCAGATGCAATAATGTCAGGAACTCATTTTCTTAGCTTCTACTGAATGTCTTGAATAAGGGCATCATGGTGGATTCTGTGATCTTTTACCCTGCTTTGTATTTTCAGATAGCTTTTTAATTTAACAAGTCAGACAGTAATCAGGCCTGGGTTTGGCTAGTAAATTGATCTAAAATGTGGTTATTCAATGAATTCATGATTTAAAAATTAGGAAATGTGTGTTTTCATAAAAGGCTTCCCCCAATTAAATCAAATAATCAATTAAAAGCTGTTTGATAATTTTAAAATAGGATATTCCTATCACATCACCTCACTATACTCCCTCCAGCTTTAACGAGAATAGGTCAGTTGAATGTTAAGCTTAAACTTATTTGCTGTTTCTGGGTCTAATTAAGAGGAGACCCCAGTAGCATTGCTCCATTTGAGATTATTTTAATACATTATATTTTAACAAATGTTAAACATATTTTGCATTGACTGACACTTAAGGGTGAAGAAACTCATTTTTTTTAATAATACTAAATTGCTTTTTTTTATCATAAACAACATTGATTTTTGTTGATTAATTCACACACAAAGATATTTGCTGCACCCCTGGCCAATCATAGCTTCCATAAAAATAATGGGAATATTGAGGAGAATTATAGAAATGATAAGAACCTTTCGAGCGACGGATAAAATGCCGTCTTGTCTTGGAGATGAGGATCTTGACTACAAATAAGAAAATATAGAAATGCTTTTAAGTAGATATATGAGGAATATAAACAGAGAGTGTAAAAAGGCAATGCTGTACGCAAAAATTAGATAAATGGAGAAACTCGGATTGCACTGTAGCATAAAACATAACCGTGAGTTGTGGTGAATCACCTGTGATCTAGTCAGCTCCTCCAGAGCATGCAGCCTGTGCAGCACGTTGGTCATGTTGTGCTGCAGCTTCATCAGAGCAGCTGCTATTTGCTTATCTGCGTTTCCCCTGGTAACAGTGACAGGATGTCTGCTTTGTATCACACAGCTGCACTCACCGCCTGCACTTACACAACGTGGAGGGCTGTAGGTGGTTGTTGGTGAATGCAAACCTACAACACAGGTCCCATTTGGAAGAAGTTAAAGACTAAGAAAATGCTGTTTACATAAACTGAGCACATGTTAGGGATGCACTGTTATGTTAAAAGTAAACCAAGGCAGGCTCACCTATTTCTCTTTTTGATAAGGAGCTGCTGTGTCCGCTTGGACCCACTCTTTCTTTGATGTAGAAACCTCCTCCTGGTATTTCATCTTTAGCTTCTTTCAGGGTTGTGCTGCTCTCAAACCAAACATCGCTCGTCTTCACCAACGCTGCTCCTGACCCGGGTGATCGACCTTTTGATGGAGACAGTCGTTGCATGCACATCTACACATGCAAAGGAAAGTTAGGCACAGCTGAATAAAAGCTAATAAACTACAAAATTAAAACTACAGATGAGATGTACTGGTCTGTTTTTCTCTAGTTGATCAATTCCAATTTTCCTACAGGGGATACCGGAAGATAAGTCCGGAAGGACAAGAAAAAAATGAACTGCAGTTTGTTTCTGTGATTAAGTTAATAGCTTGAATGAATTAACGAACATTTGGTTACATTTGAGGAGCAACTGTGATCTTTTAAACTAGTTTTCAGTGTGCTCAGGGACCAAAAGAGTCATAAATGGAGCATGCCAAGCAAAAAAAAAAAACATTCAAAAAGGATTTGAAATGGCAAGTTGAAAAAGAAAATGGAAATTGAAACCGGAATAGGCTTTCTTAAATATGTGATAAGGAAAGGTTTTTATAATCAGATTTATGAATTTTGTTTTTTAAATGTCCATTCAGAAATGGGATTTAAAAATGTATTTTCAAATTTCAGTATTCAATAATGGATTAATATATACACTTCAGAGTTCCTCTTTAATAATTCAATTAAAAATGTGCAATCAGAAAATCTTTTCAAATTGCATGATTAAAATGTTACATTTAAATTGGCTGGTTTTGTTTTTCAGTGACTCTTTAGGTCTTCCATATACTCCATGCTTTCACTATTTATTATTTTGTGTTTCTTCAAGCATGTAAGATTCTTAGATTTAGATTATCCCTGTAATTATACCCCCAATCTCTCTCAGCAAATGTTTTTTGTATTTTGTCTGCTAACTGTTTATTTCTAGCTTTATAAGTTAGTTGTGTGGTTTGATACTTTACCAGGTAAGATCATTTAAGCAAACAGGAATAAATGCATAATAGTTTATTGTGATCAATATAGCCAGCCTCATAAATGATCCTGGTGGCTCTTTTCTGCAGAGTGCATGGTGGTTTGAATGATTTCCTGCAGGTGTCTTCCTGAGTGTAACAGATCTTGTAGTCAAAAATCACACCTAAGATTTTTATTTTATTAAGATGTCCCACCTTTACCCCACAAATTTTCAAATAACTTAATATAAAAGGTTTCTCCAAATCCAAAGAAAAAATTGTTTTAGTCAAACCAGTTTTTCAGCTTATTTTACCCTGGTGTGATGTCACTCAAGAGCTGCTGTGAGCTATCACCTGTATGGGGAAAGAAAAAACTTACATGTCCTTTATGGACAGACTAAACAGTACTGGTCCCAATCCTTTCCCCTGATGGACACCATAAGCAAGCAATGTCCAAGAATAATGACTGATAATCACCCATTTTTCCAAATTGTTGCCTGCTACTTAAACAGCTCATCATCCACTCTAGAACAACGACCCCCATCCCCTCCTGTACACTACAAAGCTTTAATTTCTTGATTGTTAGATTGTGTCAAACTTTTTTGTCAGACCAACAAGTAGACCAGTTGTGGAGCTGGTGATTTTATCTATTAATTCCAGGATTGCCAAAAATGTTGATCTCTGGGATCTAAATCTGTACCGACTTTCATAAAGTAGTTTGTGTTTATCAACAAAGTTGTCAATTCTGCTAATATTTTTGGATTTTGTTTTTAAAAAGTTATGAAAACTGTGAAAGTATAGTGTATGGTTTGGTGTCCATTTCCAGTGTTGCATAACCATGTGATCATTTTGAATGTTTGGAAATGTACCCATTTGGAAAGAAAGGTTACATATGAGTCTGTTGTTTGAACTGCCTGGACAAACTCTTTTGACTATTGTCATATCAATGTCATCACAGAGAGTGGATCTTTTATTTTTACATTTGCTGATTTATCCCTGTATAAATAAAACAATTAGATGTTCCCAGTTGTTTCCAAGCCTTTGTTGATAGCTGTAATATAATTCATTTTTCCTATTTTTTTTTATGTTAATAGACTGGTGGGGTTGCTTACTTTGGTGCATTCAATAAATAGAAAAAAAAAAGATAAGAAATATTTTCTCTAGATTTGACGTTTTATTTTCATAATGGCAATGTTTTCATCTTAGGAAACAAGACAGCAAACCTCTTCCATTGCTAGATGCTCCATTGAGTCACAAAATTCCTCATTGTCCGAATCTATGGGGCGATGGTTCCTCTCAGGATCAGCATATGGGTTGTCTGAGTGGTCAGGTAAAAAAAGGTATACCGAAAACATGAATGCATTTATCTTGTCCATTTGTTTTCCTTTGATTAGTAATTCTATAGAGTCTATGAAACCTATAAATCTATAAACTTATTGTAGAAGGTGAAATACATCTTCCTTCAACTTCAGCATTTTTAGACCTTACCAGGTTTTGTATTTGTATAGAAGCGAAAATGGTAAAGCTGAGTTACAGAACAAACAGGGGTCAGGTGGTTATAATAAAATGCACATAAAAAAATGAACAGCTTTATGGAAAAGAGCTGTTTGGGAATTTTGTGGCACAGTGGTCCCACTGCTCCCCAAGGGGATGGGTTAAATGCAGAGGTACATTTCTCTAAGGTGAGATCAATGAAGTTATTTTTTTTTAAACTATCATAAGAAACATGACACGAAGGTTTAAAAGACAAAGCGTTGGCATTGTAGATACAACTACCTTCACTCGTTGTGTAAATGGATTAATACGTTTATTATAAGATCTAAAGTCTTTTATTCTACAGTGAAAAAAGTTACACAAACATAAGGATCAGTTGAAGCTACCTAATCTAAAACCTAAAATACATAAAGGTGTACACATTCGCATGTGTCACAGAGAGTATGGGCTGTGCATATGCAACCTGTCACACAAAGGATTATGGGATTCATCATTGCTCCTTCAATGGAACTATGACAGGAAGCATACAGGATCTCCTTCCTATCTCCTTCCTCGTTGCCAACACTATTTGGAAAGAACATATAGCAGGGAATGCTGATACCCATCTGCTTTGGCTAAAGAGTCCTTACATGTTTACTGTATTCCGATCGAGGCAGTAAAATTGAAACGATGACTAAATGTGTTGAACTATCATTGTCAAAGTTTAAGCATTATAGTGACGGATGTGCAGGAGAGCTGTGTTTAAACCAATGGCTGCAAAAACAAATGAATCAAAGCAATGTTGTGAGGAGGAGAGTAGAGAATGACCGATACAGGTATTTAAATGCAATGCTGATATAGATTTTTTTTTTTTACATTTGCTGACAGCTGATTGCTGAACTGTGCTGACGATTTTTGGGGGCAGATTTTGAAGCTGATACTGCTTTTTTTTTTTCCATTTACACGATTAAAGTGACACAGTTCCAACAAATGTTAAAAATGTCTATATTTAAAACTGTCAGGAGTCCTGTCTGCGTTTTTGTGTTTCTGTGTTTGTCTCCCTTCCTCCACTAGGAGGCGCCTAGCTCTGGTCCGCCACCTCACACAACTGCTGATGGTTAACGGAGCGTTCTTAAGCTGCTGACTGCCACTACCTTGACCCCAGAGTGTTTGCCAGTTTTGAGTACTCTAGCCAAGCTGAGTTTTGCTGAGTCAAACTGAGTTTTAGTCAACCTGAGTTTTAACTTTGTTTTTTGTCTTTGCCTCTCGGCAAGAAGTCATCCTACAAACTGGATTTTTTGGACCTTCACTCCATGGAATGATCAACTGAGCTACAAACTGAGCTGGGGTTCAAACAGGAGGTT